AATAAGGCTACTGTATTATGATGTTTATAATTGAATAGAGTTGTTTAAACATTTGTTAACATTATATAACAACACATTTTTCTTTGTTACTAGGATCGACATTAATCAATCTGGACCTTTCAACTAACTCCATGTTTAGGGACCAAGCCCTTAGTTCCTTGGGAGTAACTACCATGGGAAAATATGGTTCCTCAAGTTCCACTGGTTCTTTCTGCGATCGACAATCACCAAGATGCCAAAGTCACCTTTCTGCCTTTCCCCCTGTAGAATACTACCCTGCAGAACTGAGCCTGGATACGCTGTCACATACTAGTGGGTTAGTAAACTTAGCTGTTTACAAATTAATATCGATAAACCTACTGTTCACCAGAACTGTTGTGAGATCATCAACTCTTATAGCACCAATTTCTCACTTAATGAGCGGACTTGAACAATTGCTTGAATGAAGAAAATGTTCGGAGTTGTAACTTCACTATTAGCTTTCCAGATAATATACATAGTTTAGACATAAAATATAGAAATAGGACGTTTTTGTCTTGAATATCACACCGTGACAAGAAAATATTTAAACGTTCATGAAAAAAGTTTCTATATTAATAAACATTAGAAAATCGGCCTTAATTTAGGATCCAGCAGTCCCTCCAGTGGCTCAGCGGCCAAATCTGAAGGCTCACACCGCTAAAAACCGAGGTTCGATACTTGTCGTGGGCACAGCACAAAGAGTCCAATATGTGGCTTAACAACAAACCAACAAATGAAGATTCAGATTATATTTCACTTTTGTGTTTTAGAGTTCTTACCATTATTGATTTCAGTAAAAACATACGATAGATAATACAGAAGAGAAACTATATAATTAGAACCCCACACAACTGCGTGATGCGTCGTCTGTCAGATTCAACTTGTAATCAATCACACACCTCAGATAAGAATTCAGTTAAACATTTTAAAATGAGATACGGGTGCTGAAGTTATAACATTCTATAAATAAGTTATCACTGATAGTCCGCAGCTAGTTAACTTTATATATATACATATGTAGGAAAAATAATAATAATTACAACTAAATAATTAGATAATAAAGCAAACGTTGCACAGCCTCTAGTAACGTTTATTATTATTGTACCGATTTCATAGCTTCTGAGCTATTCTTCAGCTCTATTTAGAAAATAAAACTGTTGGAACGTTTGCAGTAAAGTTATTTAAGTATACACGCATACACACACACGTATATATATATTGATCTATAAGTAATCAATATTAAAATCATACCAGCCAATACTGCTTCATAATTCCTATACTTACGTATATATAAAAGATATATATATATAGATAGATATATACAAAATAGCAAATAAAAGGTCATTCACACGTAAGAGCTGTGTAACTCATTGTGAACAACTGTTTCGCTGTTATACGATACATATATTAAAATCTCTATTGTTTATTTGAATGCCTATAATTATAGAGATTATGTATAAGATTTTTATTTAAGATTAAGCATTTGTCAGCTAATGTGTGATTAAATCATCATCGGTTTCATGTTCAATACATCGGAGAACTTCCAACAAATGATTTAAATGGAAATTTTGTATTGTATGTTTTTTGTTGTTTTTTTAAGTTTCGCGCAAAGCTACTCGATGCACTAGTTATCTTTAATATAGCAGCGATAAACTAGAAGGAGGGCAGCTAGTCAACACCACCTACCTCCAAGGCTACTCTTTTGGTTCATTGAAATTTGGTCTTTGGGGGGGAAATGTGAAGTAAAGCAACATTCTTTAGCCATATTTATTGTAATAGATAAAAATCGCTGAAAATATTGCCTGGTCAAGGAAGTTTTCAAGAAAATAGTTCTGTATGAGTCGAGGCCCTCATGATATCATCTTACGGACCCCAGTTTTAAAACCATTACGATAATACAATTTAGTTGCCAGAGACCTTAATTGTATTATTTGACTTATTATACTATCTAATCTTTATAAGATTATATAAAACTTTGAGTGTTTTTCTTTTTTAGTTATACCCTTTTTCATATTTCTGAGTGCACGTGAGTAGTCTTTAGAGTACTACACATCATTTTACAATGTCATTACAGTATAATAATTCGGTGATAGCATCCAGTGATTTATATATCGTGACTGTTGTCATTTGCTGTTTTCTAAGTTGATTCGGAAAGTCAAAGGAAAAGCGAAGAACAAGGGATGATGTCAACAACATCCGCACTTCCACCCCCAACATGGCAACTTCCGCTCCTTTACTTCCCGCTATGCACGCGTTAGCACGTGCAAAGCAGGAGGTAACAATGTGGGAGGTAACTTCTCACGTGTGAGGCCTCTCGCACCATATCATGATACTTACTTTTATTTTCACCTCTTGTCTCTAAAAAACAACGTGAAAATATTCCCTCCCCCCATTTCTTTCATCAATCATATTTTGTTATATGGAACTGATCATTTTTTTTTTCAGATAGGTTTAACGTAGTTATATGACTCACACATCACTCACCAGGTGCGCCATATTTTTGCGCTTTTGTGAATATTCAAGAATAGTGAACGACATAACGTGGGTTTTATTTTAACACGAAGGAAAGTATTATTCATCAATATTGTTATTAAAACAACGGTTAGGCTGGCAAGTTTATGTCAACCTAATATTATTTTGTGTAGATTACAAGACTTACAAATTTATATTATACTGATATAATTTAAGTCAATAAGCTTCAGATATTTAAAATTATGGTCATATACTTATTTTGCTTATTTAATCAAAATAACTAAATTGACGTGTTTTCTTTTGTAGTATATCGTGAAGACCAGATTTGTTCAGCCAAACGTTGTATGACTGTAATCTTCATGATCAAGAAATAAGAACTGCCCCACATGAAGGCACTTGAGAGGAGTAAAAAAAAAAACCTTCGCTAGTTCCAGCATTGTACTGTAGATGACACTTTTGCAAATGAATCCTGTGTTTATTGAAACTACAAAATTTGTGAACTTTAAGAGTATATATATATATATATATATATAT